TTCCTCCAGCCTGCAACAGCCACTGGAAAAAGGTGCGCTGCGGTAGGTGACCGTCGAATAATGCAAAACGTGTCCTAATCAACGGAGCCTATTGAGTTGAATTTCATTCGATAGGGAGCTCTTGTTCGATGCATTCCCAAACACCCGATTGAATGGAGTGAACCGGTCATCTTTCTGGTTTACCAGAAAGGAGGTAAACCCTTTTGTGAAAGCCACAGAGGACGTAGATTGATTATTATATCCTCAAAGTTTCATGCTGAAATTGTACTCCATCGTTCGTTTGTCGCACACTTATGAGCCAGGTTGATTATAGACGTGATCACGGGCTGATCGACCATATTTTCACCCTTCGCCAGATTGTTGAACACATATTCCTTCCATGGGGCTGTAGTTTCTCCTCTGATCTAAAAGCGGCCTTCAACTCAGTCGACTCCACTGTGATCTGTCGCTGTCTCTCCTTGAATGGTGTGTGCGGTAAGTTTTTTCTCTGTTGCGATCCGTATAAGCGAACAACCGCAGCCACCTTCGAGCTTTCGGCTCTTTTTCGCCCAATCTTACCATACAAGCCGGTGTTCGTCAGGACTGCTGTCTCACTTCTTTCCTCCTCAAATTTGTGATCGCAAACGGTCCTGTCCTAGTGCTCAGTTAGCGGCACTAATGCAGTCCCAGGCATGCAGTTGTTTGATCCGGAATATGCCGATAACATTTTTCTGTTGAGTGACGATCTAAATGGAGTGCTAACGTTTCGGTATGGGTTTGGTGCTAGCGAAGCTATTTTAACCATGCGTTCTTTCTTTACCTTCAAACTATAATATATAAACTTTTCTAGCTCCCATTTTCATTCCTTCAAGAGGATCAATAAAATCCAACAAAATTAGCTTCTTAGGCGACTGAGGCTTACCTTGTGGGAGAATCTCGGATAAAATATAGACATTCATGCAGAATGCCTAAATGGTGCTTGCTAACTTGAGGCACTTCGGTCACCGCCGCGGCTTGCAGTTGTCCGTGTAGGATCGAGTGCATACTGCATTCCTCTGGTTGGTTCTTCTGTCTAGTGCAAAGCGAACAATAAAACCAGATTTTCGTCCCCCCGAACTCCTCTGTCTACGCCGGATCGTGTGACCCTAATAGGACGACCAAATACCCTTCGCTGAAGCTAGACACGGAGTTTTAGGTAGTCGTGATCCCGCATTGGAGTGAGCACTAGATCTCCCCGGATTACGATGACTAACGTGTGTTGCGCGTATCACCAGATAGGGCTTCTTTGCAAGCATTGCACTCCTAGTTTCTATGAGAATTCATAGCAGATAACCAATTGGAAATCGGAATACCCCTTCCTAGTTCCTGTTCAGTGGTCGAATCTACCAACAGACGGACGGAGTCATAATGGAATCTCCTCTAGGACCATTGTTGGCGGACATATTCATGGGAACCTCAAGAGTACCATCTTACAAGGCACTATCCACAAATTCAGTGTGTACTGTCGATATGTGGACGATATATTTTTTCATAACAAGCCAAACAACCAACGTCAAGTCTGTGCTGTAGGCATTCAATGCATCCACAACTCAATAAAATTCACTATAGAGAAAGATAACAATGATCGATTCTCATTCCTGGATGTTCTACTAATCCAAACCCAGATGGAACTATCCAGAGAAGCATACATTCGTTACTTAGTTTGATTCCAATTAAACCAGATCGACGAACCCAAATAACTCTATGTAGTTGTAATGGCCAGTTGATGAATTTATTAAAAACCAGCTTGTTTGGCCTACCGGACTTTGTTTTCATAGTGGGAAATAACTCATTATGGTTAGACTATGACCTGGTCTGAAAATCTTGACTAGGGCTGTCGATCACAAAGGTCGCATAAAATTTCCTGTTTTGGAACTTTGTGACGGACCTAATCAAGGACCATCAACACGGATTGCAATAGCCGAGCGCCGTAAGCTGTGATGTTTGTTAATCTACTCAATTTTGAGTAGATCTAGATCATTTGCTTTCCGTGTGTGTATTTTGATAATGATCGTAGATTTTAGCTTTCTTATTCCTTCCTTCCTTATTGATCGACTAGATTTGTAGCTTAGAGACAGCACCACAATATACAGTTTTTGGTTGTAGAAATTGATCAACTAAAACTACCACACTCATGGTTTCCACACTGTTATTAGAATTACAACTAACCAATTTTGGATACTTCGTTCCGATCAATCGGGTAAACTGAACCAAATAATCTTTCATTGACTCGTCTAACACATATTCTCCCTTGTGTCTGGGATTCCAACCTATGATCCAGTCCGAATACATATTTAACTTACTTGCTGATCCCTTTCTGAAAACAGCTTGCGAATTCTTCAATTTTCAGGTAGCCATTCCCGTTGCAGTCGATCATTCTAATGAGAAGCAAGTGACTGCACTGTTTGAACGGATACAACGAGAGCAAAAGGGACGCCTAGATGTACTCGTAAACAACGCGTTTGCAGCTGTTTCGCTGATCAGAAAAACCCACAAAAAGGCATTCTACGAATTCGAAGATGTAAGCCCTGGAGAGGCCTGGGATATTGTGAACAATGTTGGTCTTCGAAATAACTACGTCTGCGCTACTTTGGCCGCACGAATGATGGTCAACTATCAGCGGAACCTCCAGGAACAGGGTCACCCGGAGAACTTGCAAGCAGGTTTAATTGTCAACGTATCTTCCGTTGGGGCAAAGACTTTTTTGTTTTCTACTTTGTATGGAGTAGGTGAGTCATTAGTCGAGTTCCGGACTATCGTTAATAACGTGTATTTGTGTTTGCCTAATGTTCATGCAGGTTGTGATCTATTTATTTCATAACATGACCACACGATTTGTAACTAATTAGTTTTCCCTGAATGATTAGCCGAAAATGAAGCACCCAACTGGTTTTAGTTAGTTAGTTAATTAACGCGGATGATGTTCTTTGCTGTGTTTGGAGAACTGCCTTGTTGTACAACCCACACAAGTGGCATCACAAATGTAACCAGATTGGTCGATCATAGAAGAAGGTAGGATGGCGGGAGCAGGTTAGTAACTTGTGTGTTTAGGAATGCTTCAGTGAAAAATTCGCTGCCACACTAAATTCAAATGAGTGGTAGCAGATGACACGGAAATCAAGAATGAAAAACGGTGCAGAGATTAATTCGAGTAGATAGCCCTCATCTCCTTGATTGGTAGTCAAATGCCCCAGGATATCACCGCGATAGGTAGCTTTGGTGTTCCTGCTGTCCGTCTTCAAAATGGCGTGCAATAAACAAACAAAGAAACTGTAATACCCCAAGTTGACTGTTTTTGTTTTCTTCGCAATTTATGTTTCTATATTTTTCGTTGAACTCACGGTCGTTTTGGCACCGTATCTGTAAAGATTGGTGTTTATATATATATATATATATATATATATATATCGTTTCTTACTAGACCAAACTTGCTGGAGCGAAGTGTATGTAAAAGCCGGCTATGTACACTGTATACTGATCTTAGTCGTTCACTTTTTCCGTTCTCTTCATCAATTTATCTCCCTTTTTGGTCTACACATGGAAATAGTGTCGATGTTGGTGTTGGGGGTGGTGATCAATTAGTTCAAGTTACCATCTTTAACGTACACCATTCTTCAGAATCCGAGGTTCAAATGATTATTCACCCCATTTGGGAAGTTGCTAGTTCCCGAACCAATGTTGCACCCATCTTATTACGGCCCTGTTTAGTTATCTTCAATATAAATGAAACAAAACAGAATACTGGGTTCTTGTGACTCAGTTTTATCCGCTCTACTGTTGATCACACTTAGCGATGTACCAAAGCATGCACAGAGAATTACGGCGTATAAAATATGTCCAGCCTAATGTTAACGCACTCATATGAATAAATGCTGCGGAATTTCGTACCAGCCATCTTATGTGCACCTAGATTATCGCTGTTCTATCGATTTACTCTGTTTTCGTACGCTGTCATCGACATCCGTAATGTTTTCCTATTTCCATTAATAAAATCTAACTCCATTCTTTTTTGTATTCCTGCTTTCATCGCAGGCAAATGCGGTATTGATCGAATGTCTCACGATATGGCAATCGAGTTGAAACAACACAACAATCACATTAGCGTGATCTCACTTTGGCCCGGAGTGGTGCGCACGGAGCATATGCTAGAGAGTGCGCAAGCCAGTCCAGATGGGAAGTGGAACTTACAGCACTCTCTACTCATCATTCTCGCCAAATTCCACTTCCCATCTGGACTGGCTTTT